CTCTGCCAATCCCTCCACTGGCTTCCATCCCCGGCCGTGCTCTGCCAATCCCTCCACTGGCTTCCATCCCCGGCCGTGCTCTGCCAATCCCACCACTGGCTTCCATCCCCGGCCGTGCTCTGCCAATCCTCTCGATCGCCCATCGAATACAGTTCAAATTACCAACAGCAACATACCAAGCCATCCACAACTCTCCCCCCAGCCACATCACCAACCTCATCTCAAGATATCACCCTCTTCACTCCTCCCAATACCTCCGGCTCTCTAGGTCCCTCACCACCCAAGGTGAAAAGGACAAAACCCAGTCTGCACCTTTTTGACTTTTGTTTTTTTATATTTTTGTTTATTTACCTGACTCTGCACTCCCACAACCACAGGAGCTCCAGTCCTCCTCCGTCCAGTACTGGAACACGAGAGGGGACACTTTTGAGTGGCCATATCCCATCCTAATGACATGGTTGCCAGTCCTGCACTGTACACGTACAGGGATGACATCGGTGAGAGGTGGTGGCAACGAGACCGGTCTGAGACTGGCAAGAGCAGCAGTTTTAAGGGACTGGTTGCCACAACTGGAAACAGCGGCGAGGATAGCTGCAGGACGGGACATTGGGGTGAGCATTGCTCTGTGTTATCCTATCCCCTAGATCAGGGATGGCTGAACTCCGGCCCTACAGCTGTGGGTGAAACTACAAATCCCATGAAGCATCTCTCTCCGGGAATCATGTCTGTGGCTGTGAGAATCTTGCAATGCCTCATGGGGATTCGTAGTTCCAACACAGCTGGAGGGCCCGCAGTTTGGTCATCCCTGCCCTAGATAAAATAAGCCTTTTTTTAACGGAGTCGGGACGTATCTTGAGAAGAGGTAGACTTGTACACCTCGGCTGAGAAAGACGGCGGCCGTGAGCTTAGCCAATCTGAAATGAGACAGGAAATCGGAGCGCATCAGTCAGCTGACATCCGAACACTAAGGAGAATATGACATCCAAGTTCCATCTCATGTGATTTTATAACTGGGCCCAGAAAGCCAATGCCCATTACAAGTATTGGAGCAGTGAAGTGTCAGATTGCACTGGAAAGTAGTTTGCATGTGCTTTCCTTAGATACATTCGCAGAACCCTACGAGGATGTTGTAACTCCTTTCAAACTGTGCTCAAAGAGGACCTGTGTTGTGGAAGTTGTGCCGAAAAAACAGCATGCGGAAGACAAAAGACTAGTGACCTGTATTTCCTGTAGTCCCTTAGGCCTTGTTCACACCAAGCGCGGAGCAGGTGCAGAGCAGTTACAGACCGGAGCAAAACTGCGTCCAATGTATTCCAATGGTATTTTTAGCTTCAGTTCACATCGCAGCGTTCACTTCCAGAGCAGGTAAAAAAAAACTGCAGCAAGCCCTATTTTACCTGCTCTGGAACGCTCTCATATCACATACCATAACATGTGGTATGCAGGCGCTCACATGCAGCTGCTGTCAGCTGATCAACTTGAATGGGTGGCAGCTGCCGCTTGTAAACATCAGATTAGGGATTTCTGCTGCAGGAAAATGCAAGTTCCTGACGCTTTAATCCCTAATTGCACCTAAACCTACAGATACGAAAGGGTCAGTATTGTGTATTAGGGTCCGTGGTACCAAACCGGATATAGTTTTATTTTAAAGTATGAAATTTGGCAAGCCGCCCCATGAGAGAAAAAAAAAATTGTCGACTGGCCCCCGAGTGAATTTAGTTTGAGACCCCCGATTTAGAGACTGCGGAAGTCCTTTTCAGTTGAATTTGGGGAAACCACTCAAAACATTAGTTGTGTTGAACTATTTTAATTGCTTTTGTTGGATTTGTTCTTTGCCAATAAACCTGACCGGGGATTGGGCAATGGGGGTTGAATCATTTTGATTACAACTGTATGTGCACACAGTTTTGGGACAGGAAATAAAACATTTCCCAATGGAGTCACAGACAGAAGTAAACCTCGGCCTGTCCGGCTCTTCAGAACTAGACACTTCGGGAAGTGTTGGATGCCTATGGGACTCTGTAGTGATGTAGGGGGGGGGTTGGGGGACGGAACGACAGCAGACTGCAGGGGACCCCGGCTGCCGACATTCTGGGAAGTGTTGGATGCCTATGGGACTCTGTAGTGATGTGGGGGTTGGGGGACGGAACGACAGCAGACTGCAGGGGACCCCGGCTGCCTACATTCTGGGAAGTGTCGGATTCTAAACAGTTTGCAGCGATTAGAGAGGTTAGATAGACATGGGCCACCCTAGAGGCGATGAGAATACCTATTCTATTACAGGGAAGTGCTTTGAGCTATGTTCGGGAGGCGAGGACAATGTCGCTGTATTGTGCTTCACACTGTATCTATACACAAAACTACAAATGTTATCTTCCTGACACATGCATAGTGCTGACAGATGTGACAAAATCAGCTCAGCGAGGTCAAAGAACAGACACTCGGTCTGCAGATAAGACAACTGCACCCGGAAGTCTTGTGAAACGTCTGCAAGCTCTGATCAGGGTCCCGGAGAGAGGAAAGCTTCTGCAGCAGAGATAAAATGTTTGCGGCCATACGTGGAGACTGAGGGCCCATTCACACCACATCATCTCCAGACCAGACCAGATTGTTTCCGGACCCAAAATGCATCCTAATGTATCCCTATGCTATTTCTGGCCTCTGTTCACACCAACGCAGTCCGTTCCAGACCACACCAGAAAAATATCTGGTCCAGAAAATAGTGTGATTCTGCCGGCAGTTCCAGTGCATTCCAGACCAGACATGAGACATGCGACGTGCAGAAGCTGAGGGGGGCGATTTGAGTGCCATACAAGCGATCGGCCGGTTGTAGCGCCGGCCGAATGCTTTTATGCAACAGCCGGTACCGGCTGTTTACATTCCCGGCGGGATTCTGCTCGTGTGAGCCCCCTAGTGAGGAAAAATAAATGACGTAGAGGCACGTCTACCCACTGGGAAGAGTCCGCTGTCTGCCCGTGTATTCACAATGGGCGGACGGGCAAGTGGTTAATTCGTCCACCCCTGCTGTATACAGTTATAAATACAGCAGTAATATATTTCACCCCTACTGTATACAAACAGGCTGACAACACTGGAGCTCATTAAGGCGCAGTGGCTTAGTGTTGTCACCCTGCAACAGTAAGTGCGGTTACTGGCAGGATCTCCAGATAGGAAACATATACACCATATTCTCACATAACACATTTGCTTATGAAAGCTGTATACAGCGAGACGGGGTGACACACTGAAATACACATATTGGGTTTATATTCGTTGTCTAATGTTGTTTGGTTTTGGATAAAGTGCATAAAAGTTCACATTCCTACCTGGCTTTTGTGTGTGCGTCTGTGTGCCTGTCTCTGTGTGCGTCTCGGTCTCTGTGCGTGTGCGTCCCTGCCTGCGCCGCCGTGTGCGTGGAGACTTTTCCTCACTTCCTGTTCTTGTTAGGCCCATACATGGGTGTTGCAGTTGTCACAGGAAGATAAAACCCCATTGTTTGGCATCGTGGCAGAGGGGGGACAAGTGCAGAGCGTGCTGGCGATCCCTCCTTCCTCCAGCCGGGCCCATACCTCCGTACAGATCCCAGGCTGGTGGAATACACTGCAAGAGTCTGTGGACTGCAACACACCGATCACGGGTGCAATGCTCTGCAGGCTTCACTGGAAACAATTAGCAAATGCCCGTGGATCATGAGATCAATGTTGCTGCGTTTTTTCCGTTTTTTGCAAAACGCGGACTTCCACTTTCAATAGAGAAAAAGGAAAAATAGGATTTTAAAGAAGCCACGCAGGGTCCTGATGTGTCTTTTTTTATTTTACTGCTGCAAAACAGTAAACCGTTGGTGACAGGGTCTCTTCACACAGGAAGTTTGACTTCCCATAAAGAAGGAGCCTTCCTCCTGTGTAAACCACGGCCTGTAATACAAAGGGAGGAAGGTCACAGGTGATGCCTGACACAGAGCAGCAATTTGCAGGTAATTACCTGGAGATGAAATGTGTGCAATGGCCCGGAGGCGTCCTTAATTGTATGGAAACCTGGGTGTGAGGCCGTCACTGCGCACACAGACCCTGAGACACAGGACTCCATGTGTCATCAATGACTTAGGAGCTCCGCAGACAAGTCTCATCATCCCGCTTATGTAAAAGGGAGAGTCTGAGCCCAGCAACTCTGCTCCTATGACATTAAAGCTGAACTCCGGGACCAGCAGACATTGTCCTTATACAAGAGTCCTGCGTGTTCTTCCTGAACCCGGGTGAGCTTTGTGTATTTCTTCCAGATCTGTGCAGTCATCCAGTGTGACACTTCCTGTACCTGACCGGTCACTGCTTCTCTCTCTCCTTGTGCAGGGTGACTGGTCACGTCTCCACCCCCTCCTGTAATAAAGACCGGTCGCTGCTACTCTCTCCATGTGCAGGGTGACTGGTCACGTCTCCACCCCCTCCTGTAATAAAGACCGGTCACTGCTGCTCTCGCTCCTTGTGTAGGGTGACTGGTCTCGTTTCCGCCCCCTCCTGTAGTTGTCTGAAGGAAGCCTGTAGTGGGTGGGGCCTGCTGGGTCCCTCCCACAGCTCTGCTCAGGCTATATGCAGCACAATGATGATGTAGTAGGTAATATCTGGATTTGCAAAGGCATGCAGTCCACACAAAATGGATTTTTATTATCGGCCGCCGAAACATAAATCGGCAGAAAATGGCACTTTTGGCATAATGCCGAAAGTGCCATTTTCCTGCCGATACATCGGCGCATCCATGATTTATTTCCTCCCCGCTGGGCCGTGCTCTGTGTCCCAGCTGGGAGGAGAGAAACTGTGATAGCCGGCCGAGCGCTGCGAGCGGCGTCTCCTCCCACACCGCTCAGCCGCCTATCACAGTCCGGCAGAGCGGTGTGTGAGGGCGGAGACAGCGCTGTCACAGGAGGCTGAGCTCTCCTCCCCGCACTGCTCGCTCAGCCTCCTGTGACAGCGTGTCAGAGAGAAGAGCGGGTACAAGTAGTCATGTGATCGCTGAGTGTTTGTACATAATTGAGGACATGGTATGGTTACTATATCCTCAATTATGAATGAATGGGAAGTGATCTACTTCCCCTCCTCTTCATTCATAGTTGTAGTTATAGTAAACAAATAATGTTCTCATGTTATGAATGATCAGGAACACTCAGTATAGAGGATTCCTGTTCATTGATAACAGGGGACACAGAAAAAGAGATGGAGGACTCTGTGTGTCTCTGAGGACTTTCTGTTCTCAATCTCTTTTTCTATTTTAAAAAGGGAAATATCAGGGGTCTGTTTAGACCCCCAATATTTCCCCGAAGCCCCTAAAAGTAAAGTTAAAAAAAAAATTTTAATAAAAAAATAAAAATAAAATATTGAAAAAATTTAAATAAAAAACATTTTTGGTATCGGTTTCGGCCTGACAATTTTTTTTATTTCGGTTTTAAAATTTCCATTTCGGTGCACCTCTAATTTATATCCTTTGCAGCTATTGAGGAATATATGTACATGAAAGTTTTTGTGCCCGGAGTAAGCTGGGCATGCAACCCGCGGGCTGAACAAAATATAACAGACGCCTCTAACACAGTGAACAGCGCGGCAGGATGAATCTCCCACGGCGAGCGTTGTATTCTGGCAGCAGCTGCATCCAGCGTGTTACTTTGGGAAAAGCTGCTCTAATGATGGACTTCTGCCGATGGAACGGGGTGCACACGGAGCGGAATTCCTGCTGAATCATCCAAAATGTGCTCCGTGTGTAACCAACTAGAAGCATGGTGGCAGCTCACACCTGTGCAATGGCGTGGGCATGTGCTGTCCTTTAATGGTGCACCAACACAATTTATAGGGTTTCTTGATGACAATGGCGGACCACTTCACCGAGAAGGTGGAAGGGTAAGAGCTCTACCCTCCTGGTGGCAGGACACCAGGACAGAACACCAGGACAGAGCAGCCCCACCATCGCTGGATGTTGCTCGGTGTTCAGCCCCATCGTTGACCACGGCAGGAGCGTTCCCGAGTTCTACACATGGAAGATTGCTGTTTGGGGGCCACAGATCAGCCCCGTCTTTCTCATACCATTGCGAGTGCTCAGCCTGAGGCTGGAATGGATTGTGCACTTGACAACCTAAGACCATCATACAGGTTACGATCTGACCATACAATCTTGTTCCCAGTAAAGCTGCATATTCGCTGAGTAGGTGACCCGGCCAGCTGCCTCCCTCCTGACATCCTTTCATTGAACAACTGTAGGAGCCGGGAAGAAAAAACAGTGGTCCGAACAGCGCCGGTCTCCAATGAGATGCAGGCACTGTTCAGGCATCTTGACAGCCTATCGAACTACAATTGCTGGAATGGGAGATTCCTCCATCCTGGCTGTTTAGTGTGAATGGAGGAACCTGTTCGATTTTGTCCCCCCAAAAACATCTCCTAGTGTATATAAACATATATATATAGTGTACGTATATTTAGGGGCATCCCGAGGCTGGGCGACACCCGGAGTGGAGACCGGGTGACACCCCGCCGTGGCGTCATTGTGCATGCCTGTTGCGATGTCATCGCACGGTTGTCTTATTGGCGCCTGCCGGTGGCCATCTTTGTGATGGACGCCGGCAGAGAGAGGAGGGGACGTTCACCCGGCATGATGAGGTATGCCGCCGGGTCCCCTCCTGTCTCCTTACACTTGGTCGGTCCGTGACCGAGTGCCCGACTTTTCATAGGGGGTGACACCAAAATGAATGTCAGTCATTTTGGTGTTACCCCTCCAACGGTGTCACCCGGGTGCGGGCCGCACCCCTGCACCACCCCTTGTGACGCCACTGTATATATAGTATACATTAGTGAGTTCCCTTAGACTTGTATGGTAATGCAAACCCTGTTCAGAGCAAACAAAAGCCTGAAAACTAGTACCCATAACGGTGCTTCCGCCGGCATGGAGCCAGCTTTCTGGGTGATCAGGAAGCCAGGCGGCGGGTAATGGCAGGCCTCCCGGCTTCCCGACTGCCCGCGGAAAGCTGGCTTCATGTTGTCTGGCCATCTCGCCTGTGATTGGCTGGGAAGCCAGCCAATCATCGAGCCGGCATCCCGGCCAATCAGGAAGCCAGGCGGCGATTAAATGACCTGCCTCTTGATTGGCTAGGAAGCCAGATTCCCAGCCAATCTGCAAGGAGCCAGCTGTCTGGCCAATCAGGAAGCCAGGTCATTAGTCGTCACCCAGCTTTCCCGATTGCCCAGGAAGCCGGCTCCATGTTCCCCTATCGCACTGCCCGTCAGAGGAAAAAAAATTTCTGACCGCAAGTTCCAGTATCGGGGGGGTAAGTATTGGAGAATTTGGGCGACTACGAGCACTCGCCCAAATACTCGGTATCGGCACTAGTATCGGTGCTTCCCTACTGACAACACAAGCCATAATGGGAGTTATAGGACATGGCTGGTGGTGGTGGTGGTGGGCAGCAGGTGTGACGCTTACCTCTCGCTGGTGCAATTACTTGCAGCATGTCCACGTGTATCGTAGCCGACCACGAGGCCCCGACTGAGGAGAGCAGGGAAAGATTTCTGCAGATAGTGGTACATCCCCTGTGGAGAGAAGAGAGCAAAGATCATCACAGGTCCAGAAACTACGTGCTGACCCCTGGAGGAGGACGACGAGCCGCCTTCCTACATTGGTCTGAAGGAACATACCCAACATTTATAACAACATGGGGAACACGCTTACAACAGCTCAAGGAGCTAAAGGAGCAGCGAAACATCTTCCACATTACAGGACAAGTCCCAGAGATGGCCGTGCACTGCTCCAATTTTAGCCTGCTGAGCAGTAAGTGGCCCCGCCGATGCCCCTTCATTCAACAAAAGGCGATCTTCCAATCGAAGGAGCCGGGCTGGAAATGAATGCCGGAAAGGTGACTGCAGTCAGCTCTTCATCCTCCCCCCAATCAGGCGCAGACACTGTTCGGGTATTCTGACAACTGCGGGTGCCAGCTGACAGAATACAACAGCCTGACAGGGGAACTGTGGGCTATAGAGTGTTTATTCCGGGCTGAACAAGAAAAAAACACACAGAGGGGAATTTATCATCAAATCTGGAGCAGACAAAATCTTGAGCAGTTGCCCAATCAGCTTCTCTTCAGTTATGATTTGAACATGAGAGAGCGCCGATTGGTTGCCCTGCACAGCTGCTCCAGAATTTGTAAATTCCCCTCAATGGATGACGAGCTCAACTACTAACAGCTATAATTTCCGACAACCCTGAGAACCCTTTTGTCTATGCAATGCAGCCAGATCCTATCTGGTGGTAGGGACCTGCAGGGTGCTGTATATAGCTTCCTGAAACCATCACAGCGCCCTGCCTCAGTACTTCTCTCAAGTGCCTCACCCCTACCTCCTTCTCTTGGCCTTGTCAGACCTCTGCTCCAGTGAACCCTAGAATACCCCAGACTCCGGGTGTGCACAGGAAATGACAAGACCCACTTACTATCTCCCGGGTGACATGAAGTGAATCCTATTGGCCGCTCTCACTAGATAAACATCAGGCTCGGGTGTGTGCGGTGATAAGCTGCAATCAAAGTTTGTCTGAGCCGACAGTAACCGGTTCCCAGGGCTGGATTCTCCCACACACGACAGGTGGGGGGGGTGACACAAGGCTGACATGCCGGGCGCACGCCGAGCTCAGCTCTGCTACACGAAGGCTGCACGCGGGGGGCGGAGCCTGGAACTGTCACTGTTTTACATTTTATGGAATGTAAACAAATCTCTTAGGCAAATTCCTGACTTCCCCGGAACCCGGGGAATCCGACTACAGAGCACAATACCCTATAGCCTACACAACGTCCTGC